AATTCTGTATTGGGAAACATGTGTACTGTACATTTACAAGGTCTGCTTACCAATGAAAAAAAATTTATTTGTCATAACTTTATAAACCGACTTTCAGTTTCTGCAAATCAAAACACATAAAATATACTTTTAATTAAATATGAATACAAGCAATAATTACCACATCTCTAAAAAGAGTTTAGTAATTATGGAAAATCACACATTTTTAGTTTGAAATGAGTTTGTCATAATTTTCAACGTTTGTTGAAGTCTATCTATCCACCCATTCTGTTCCACTTATTCAGTGCACCCTGATCAGAACCCCGGATGATTCTTATTGAGGAGGATGAGCAGCAGCTCTACTCAGAGTGCCTCTCAGATGATGAAGCTCCTCTCCTTATCTCTAAGGCTGGATCCATCCCTCCTACAGAAGATAATTTCACACACGTTTCTCATCTACAAATCATTTTACACAATAAATAATTATTTTGATGGAAAATCAGCTGTGTCACATGACTGTTGCTAAAACCAGTAAAAGACACCTGTGACAGACAAGAATCTGACACTGTAGCATGGCTGATCTGGTGTTATTAGAGGATTTGGCAGAACGTTCACTCTGGAGTAAACGTGTCCTCTGTGAGTGCACTGACATGATTACTGAAATGAAAAAGCCATGATTTGGGACCCTTTGTGGAGCGACAAACCCGATTCCAGTCCAAATTCCAATTTACATCTATGAGAACCTCCCAGAACCTCCTTTGCTCCCTGATCATACCCACTGTGTTGCCTAGGTAACCAGACTGAATGGCAGCTCAGAAGTGGCTGCACTCTCAGAAACCATTTCCAAATTAAACTAACACCAAACAGAACAACTCCTTAAATGTAAACGACAGCCCGTTACTCTGCAAGTGATCATGTTCTACTTTATGTAGAACAGATTTTATTTATTCCTGGCCCAGCCACCTTCACAACCTCTACAACTTGTTTGGTTCTCTTACACTCCGGTAGCCAGAGCCTGTCAATAAAGGTCTTTTTTATCAGGAGGAACGCGGGTATCCCGTCATGGGCTGAGAACATTGCATGACCAAAAATGTTTAATTGAGGGTGCTTCTGTACGTAAACGGCTCAAGCACCTGGGCACGCACAGGTGGGATTTATCATCAGACGACTGCGAAGGAACGTGCATACGAGAGGCCACCGTGTTTCATAAATCAGGATTTTGACTGTTCATATGAACATTCTAGATTTTCTTCATAGGAAGAATTAAAGGAATATTTCTATGAATGTTTGATGAATGAGTCCCTGGGTAATAGAACTCCTCTGTTTGAGTTTGAAAATAGTGCAAGGTGATCTGTATATCACACAAACACATCACCACAGTGGAGGAGGACATGGCAGAAATGCTAACATGCTGCTCAGTCAGTATCTTTTGGTTAGACTGAGGAAAGAAGAGACTGGAAAAGGCAGCAAGGCAGAACAACCAGTGGCTTCACCCCCAGGCCAATCAGTGACCAACAGCCCTCTGATGTTGCATGCTCAGCCCAGCTGTGTACACTTGGAACCACATTGGAACAGGTATTAAAAAAGGGGTGGCAACCTGGGACCCGTCATCACCACCACCAGGTTTGTTTATGTTGGGTCGGTGCTGTTGGGGGAAATGACCTTTAACCCTGGATCCGTTCATGGTGCAGCTTCCCTGCAAACAGTCAACGTCGCATGGATGTGCAGATCGAGTCTATATTGAGTCCGTCGGTCCAGAGCACTTCTGTAGGACGTCCAAACTCGGTCTTTGCACAGTGGGTTTCCTCATGTCCCTCGCACCTGGACGGAGTGAGTCAGAATCCCACCCTTATTCCTCTCCCATGAAGCGCAGTGTTTCCTGTCTGATGTTGTGCAGTGTTTAGTTGGGACTCTCCACAACAGTACTCAGTCCACGTGCCTCAGTTTGCATAAAAGTTTGTTAAAAGTATGAAAAAATCTCTGAACAATCCCTTTCTCAGACTGTATTTTCATTATTTTTCTGCCATTAAGTCCAAAATCAGCTCTTTTTATTGTGTGACTCAAACATTTATTTTTATGTCTTTGTTTTTCAGATGCTTTTATCCAAAGAAAAGCACAAATCTGGTTTGATCCCGCAGATTTAGCTTTGTTTCAGACCGCTGCCAGCCAGCGGTGTGTTTGATCATCAGACACAAACTGTTTAAAGTTGCTCTGCCTGAGCTTTGAACCCACGCGGCGCCCTTTCACGGATGGCAACCTGGCGGGGAGCTACATCATGGCCGCTCTTCACACGAAGGAACTCTCTGCATGTGGATCAAATCAAAATCATCCACTAATTGACTATTTACAAGGCTCCAGAAAAGCCCTAATGGACTTGATATGAAATCCCCCTCAGATATTTAAAGTGTCCTTTTGGAGATGCTTGCCGAGAAGCCAAGCTTTTCCTTTTTTACTAGAAGGCCTTAAGCCCCTCAGTGTGCTGGATTGGACCCGTCGAGCCCAGGCGGCTGTTAGGTGGGATTATGGGACGACAGCAGGGAAGGGCAGTGCGACGCAGGGGAGAGGGAAGCAGCCAGATCTCCTCTCAATGACTTCCAGATGCACTTCTCTCGTTGGAGATACAAGCTCGGCTTGGTTAACTTGGGCTGCACGAGGGGCTTAAACATGGCTGCTTTATAATGAGATTGACTGAGTTTTATGTGAAAGTCTGATAACATAAATTTCAATATGCCTTTCCTGCCCTTTAATGCACCATTAAAGCTTTGACTGAAAAAGTTTGACTGTTAAACCAACGTCAGGGATCTGTCCTGTAAACCACTTTGCTTTTAACGTCAGAAGAACTTGAGTTGGTTTTGGTTAAGCAGGTCAGAGCTGTAAAATGGTTTAGAAGAGCAGAAAGCTGAAGTTTAATGCCTTTATGAAGGAATACCTTCACCCTTTGACCTTTGCTGTTTCCAAATATGGCTGCCTCTAGCTGCACTCCTCTATAAACCCCACACAGGAGCTTGTTTTCTTTACATGTTTTAACATTGTCGTGGGATTTATCACAGATGAACTTTAATATAAAACACCCAGGGGTAAATAATGATCTGTATTTTAAACATTATGTTCTTTTTTTATCCAATAACAAATGACATCATGCTTTACGAGAAGATAACAAGAAAAAAGCATTTTTGTTGCTGCTGTTGGTTTAAGACTTTGCCCTGCGATGGACTGGCTCTCTGTCCAGGGTGTACCCTGCCCGATTACCCATCGACCGCTGGAGATAGTTGGAGTCCAGTGAACTCATGGTCATGTTCTAGAGACCTGAGATGATCTGAGCTTTGTGGCATGGTGCGTGATCCAGCTGGAAGTAGCCATCAGAAGATGGGTCTGTGCGGTCATAAAGGGAAGGACATGGTCAGCAGCACTACTCTGTGGAGGTTAAACTAGGCTCAGGTGGGACTGAGGGGTCCAAAGTGGGAAAAGACCCTCACCTAAAAACACACACACCACCATAACTCCAGCAGCAGCCTGAAGCACTGATGCAAGGCAGGATGGATTCATGTTTTCTTGTTGATGACACCAAATTCTGACCCGATCATCTGAATGCTGCAGCTGACCTCCAGACTCCTCAGACCAGGAAAGGCTTTCCAGCCTCTTCTGGTTCAGTTCTGCTGATCCTGTGTGAATTGTAGCCTCATTTTTAGTCATCATTTTTGTCCAGGCCTGTTTCATGAGTTTATTTTGTTTAATAATTCTGCTGAAGCATGGGTTGAAAAGCAATGTCTGACTTTCACTGGTTAAGGTTCATAGAATTGTTATTATGACTTTAGTCAGATTAAAGTTATTCCTGTGTTCATTTTTTTTATCGACCAAAGGCTTAGAATCCCAATTGATCTGATCAGCTCCTCTGATACAACCAACCATGTCAATCAAAATCCCTTTAATCTCCTTTCTTCTGAATTCTAATGTTCAGTTTGAAGGTCATCCTCACCATGTCTAGATGAATAAATGCTGCCAGCTGATTGGCTTATTAGATATTTGCGTTGAGGTGGATCAACCGGTATACCAAATAAAATGTCTGGAGAGCGAAGTTGCTCTGTGGTAGAACAACACAATCACTGTAAACTCGCAGCTCATCTGATGACAGCTGAGTGATGATTTGCTGATTTAGGTCAAGCTCTGAGAAATGAACCCTCTGCATGAGAACGCCATCGATGGCTGACACACAGATATGGGAAGAGGTGCTGACATGAACCAGGACCGAGCCTTCAACATAACTCATGATCTAATGAGAGTTGTATGTGAGCGAAAGCAGCCGCCTGTGAGCCGACACTGCCGTCAGAAAAGCAACAGCTAGCTTCCTGTAAGAAGTTAGCTGCAGACGTCCTGGTTTAGTTTGTTTTAAACAAGTCTCGAGATTCTCTGAGTGCATACAGACCTCTGATCCTCACAGGTTAGGGCTGGGGTGTCCAACTCCAGCAATCCTTCATGTTTGAGTTGTTTCTCTGCTCCAACACACCTTCGTATCAGTGGGGACTCTGCAGAACTTGGAGATGCTAAAAGAGTGATTCAGACATTGATTCAGGTGTGCTGGAGCAGAGAAACAACTCAAACATGTCACCCTCGAGGCCTGCAAAAATTACTGTCCTGTTAGGATCTTGAGCTGAAACATCAATAATGATGTTCAGAACAGAAAGGTGAACCGATGATGAAACATGAATCTGATGCCAACCTTTATCAGGGATTTGCTGCTCATGCTGCAGGAGTTGTGAGAAAATTGTTCCTTTTTCTAGAGATAGTCTCTAAATATTTGCACTTTTCTTGCGCATGAGTTTGGACTTGAAGACAAACAAGAATGTTCATGTCAGAAGCATCAGTAAAACCCTTTTTCTTCATTCAAGCATGTTTCTAAAGTGTTTTCTGACCTAGCAGGCTCCGTGGTGGGGTTAAAGGTCAGGTGAACAGATTGGGACAATAAAAAAATCTGTTGGAGAATAAAACAATGAATCAGTCTGAGTAAATATTGGACACCAGTCTAAGGCAAGAAAATCTTTATTATCAAGAGTGCAAAAATGTCAAGAACATGGAAAGTTTAGGTGAAACAAAAAAGGACAAAACATGGATGTTACTGCTGAACCCTGTAAACCCACCCGCTGTCTCTGAGTGACCATTCAAGCCGTTCCCAGTCCTGGGAGGGGTTTTATGTGGGATTTGTGTGCAGCTCTTTTCCATCACTTGGCTGAACAACAGTCCTTTACGCTCCCACGTGCCTCAGCGTGAGACCTCTCTGCTGTCACGTTTGCTAATGGGAGTTTGGAGCCAAGCTGCGACGCCTGACCCCTCGGTCTCACGACACGATGCTTTCTTTAGAAGAGTGTCACTATAATGAGCAGTTTTAGGGTTTATGTCTTTAAGCTGATTTACCTGTGGAAAGGGACAGATCTTTACTAATATGGACACTGAAATAATAGGACTGTGTCCTCCAACATGTATGTTTGATCCGTCAAACTGGGAAAAAAAACAAAAAACAAAAGTCTCATTTTGGCATCGATCAGCTCGACAACAGAGCTGTGAAACGTAACCTTCAGATCCATGGACTAACGCCGCTTTTACACACAGAGCAATGAAAATCTTCTGTTTCTTAGTTTCAACAAATCTTTCAGTGGGTTTCAACAACTTTTCTGTTGTCAATAAGTTCTGCTGGACCCCAGAAACCCTTTCTTTCCTTCCTACTTGTAGATGATGAGGGAAAGCTGGAGCAAGACTTCTACAAGTGGGTGGAGGCAGAATCTGCAGGGACGTGGACTCCGAACCGGTCTGCTGTGGTGAAGGGTGAGAAGTGAACTGAGCCAGAGGAAGATGTTTTTGATTTACCTATTTAATTCAACCTCCAATCTTCACACATGGTAACAGAACCAGATGACGAATACAAGCAATCAAAGTGCAGGATGGCTGGGTTCAACCCAGGGGATTGGGCGAGGAGCTCGGATGTCGATGGAGGATGCAAGTTCCCCGAGAACTGGAGACACGTGAACGGACAATGATGAAGAAACAAATTCACCATTGAAACACCAGCCCATCAAAGAAGTTGTTTTAGGAAATGATTGGTGGGGGTTCATAAACAAATGGAACTAAACTAAATAGACTAAGAGAGTTTATAGCGCCCGCAGTGCTGCTGCTAATGCGCTAGCTTTGACTCCAAAAAGAGAATGTTAATAACGAGTTCCCACCAAGACCCTCTGATATGTTCTAGAGCAGCAGCTGGTAGCACATGGCTTGGATAACCTGTTACAGGTTAAACTAAAACATTAGAATATGGTGCCAAAGTCTGTTTACGTCAGTAATTCAGCTTAGACTGAGAGACCATCTAAAGGCTCAGGAACCCTCTGGAGTTAGCTGATTAGAGTGGGACACTTTTCATCAGCTGTAAGCCATAATCATCACAATTATAACAAATTGAGGCTGAAACATTTGGCGTTGCATGGAATGAGTCTGTCTCGTATTAGTTTCATCCGTAAAGTTGAATTACTGACATAAATGAACTTTTGCACCATACTCTGATTATTCGACTTCCACCTGTGATGTAGCGTCACGCACAGCAGTTAGATGAGCTAACATGTCGTGGTTTTGCTCATCTGAGGACATTTATTGACAACAAGAACAAACTCCAAATGTCAGCCACACCCTCTGAACCAGTCAGCCTCACAGCTGTTTTCCTGGAAAGCTGCCAAAGAGACCAAATACAAATTTATCATTCTCCCTTATAAAGTCTTCCTGCTTATACCTTTATTATCCATATTGTGGATTCGTTCACTGAATTAGATTATTTTATTCACTAGTACTTGAGCAAAGTCTGACTCTCTTGGTGAGGTTTTCGAACCTTCGGCTTTAATTCAACCCCATCAAATAATCCACATCTGGCACATCTGCTTCAGATCAGCTGAAGTGGAAAATTCATCAACAGCTGTCCAACGGCTGTATGGAGCAGTGGGAAGGTGGCTCGTGAATTTAGCAGAAACCATGGCAACTACTGATTAACATCAAAAGTCTTTTTAGACTTCGATGTTTTAGAAAGTTGATATTTTTCGACCTGTATGTTGGACTAAACTGGTTTTATCCAGAAGCCCACATCAGTTGTTGGTCCAGTGACTCCCTGCACCAATCAGCCCTGCTGGGTACTGGTAGGAGGAATCTCTGATGGATGGAGCTTCTTGTGTGGAGCAGGCTGAGAATTCTCTGTGAGGCTGAAGTGGGGATCCTGGCTTCTTGTGGTACAGGCCGGATGTGTTTCTGGAGCCAGGGACAGCTGGAGAGCACGATGAAGAGGGTGGTGATGGTGGTACGACGGAAAGACTTCTTTGGACTGGAGCCGTGCTGTAGACCCCCAAGTCAGCCTGTGGTTGTGACACCATGGATGATGCAGGATGTGGTACCACAGAGTGGACGGATGCAGAGCTGGTGAAGTGGGGGGTGAAGGGCTGGTACGGGACACCGTCGATGCTGTAGCGAGGGTAGGCCTGCACTGTTGCCCACATGGCTAGGTCATCTTTGTCTGCTGCCCCAGACCCAGACTCTGTCTCTGCACCTCCATACATGCAGGCTTCTCTGGAGGCGAGGGCCTCAGTGCAGTACGAATGAGACAGCAATGGTGACTCGTAAGAAGGAGGTGAACAGAAGTAATGTTCCTCTGACCCCACAGACGATGGCTCCAGGTACGGTCTTTTACATTCAAGCTCCAATTGTCGAGGATTATCTGCAAAGTAACACAAGTAACTGCAGAGTTTTAATTCTAAGAAAGGAACACTACAGTTGTGTTATAATGTTCAGGATATGGCCTTATTGTGAAGCAGAAGCAAAGCCTCTGAGTGTGTGTTGTGTTGTGTTGAATACCTCTGTGTTTGAAGCAGTGATACATAAGGCTGGGATCTCTGCTCTGAGGGAAGTGGGGTGTGAGAGGATGGTGGGATTCCGAGTTAGACAACGGGATTCCTGTCTCATACTGGTAAGAAGACAGGACTGGGCCGTGTCCTGTTAAAGCTCCTGCTCGAAGTTTCCCTGCAAGATGGCTGTGGGAAGAAATGATCCTCTGGCGTACTATGTTCTTCGAAATGACCGGATAATCCTTCCTATGATCAACAACAACAGAACCAGACCAACGTTATCAAACTCAAACATTTTTGAACACATTACAGAACTAATATTGTATGTTAAACTAATGAAACGTTTTCAGCTCCCAGCTTTTCCTTAGCATACCCATCTAGTCTTGAAATGCGCAGATCTCCTTCTTCGCTGCCTCGGAATCCTTTAGCAAAGGGGTTGTTTTCTATCTTCAGCTGAGTGATCTGAAAATAAAGAAAAAAACAACTGTTTATAAAAAGTCAATTCAAATCTCAATAAAGGGACCAAAACTGTTTTCACATCACCAGGACCAGATTAAACCAGTATAGGACCCACAGGTGTCTGTAACCATTACAAACCAAAGAGGCGGTTTTCCCGTTTTGAGCCGGATCTCTTACAGGACATTTAGAAAAAAGACTATTTATATTTTCACAAGCATCTTTAAATGAGGGTTAGAGCCGCAGAATTCTGAAAATTGTGTGATAATTTTTAAAAGTAACACATTTTCTCATCCCTAAAGCCGGGCGTACACTGTGCGACTTTTTCACTCGTAGCACTCAGCTTCAGCTCAAACTGTACGACTTCCTCGCAGAGCAGATCTCACGAGCCAGGCGCTCACACTGTACGTCTGGTAGCAACACGTCGGCCCTAAAAATATGCTAAAAATAGCAGTTTTTTACATAACACGTTAGACTTTTTGGTCTTGTTTTGCCTGTTGTCCTTCGGGAGTGCTGCAGGAGGACACACAGGGATTTATGGGGGTTGGATGAGGAAAACGAAATAAAGAAAGTAAATCTGTGTTTTGTGATCAGTTTAATTTGACATGAACACGACAAACGCGCTTTCTTGACAATCTTTGTGAGTAAAAAAACGTGTAGAAATTAAAATGAACAACGTGTGTTATTAGGGAAATAGCGGAGAGCGGTGTTGATGCATGATTGCACATGCGCCGTGAGCGGTTCTGATACATTTTGGGTGGCAGCTGTTCGCAGCGCCGCTTCAACAGTGCGAAACCCTCACGAGGGTTGATGGCCACTTGGATACTGAAGTGCTCATGGAACAACAGAGACATACCCCATTCAAGAGCCTGGGTAATGTTTTTGATGTCAGTTAAGTGTGAAAGTTCATAAATATTTTAGGATTATGTTTATATATAACCAGATATATTTCCAGCCCTCTTCCCTAGACCGTCTGCCTGGAGCTGAACTGGTCCAACACACACACACTGCCAGCTGATTGGTCGGCTCAAAATTTCCCTTAGGGAGAACCTCAGATTGGCAGATCAAGTTAGCCTGTGGGGGCTTCCCGCATGGGCAATTCATTATCATTCTGGACGCTGTGGAATTAACAAACTTCTGACTGAAGCCGTTTTTCTGTCTCTCACTGCTGTGAGGAGGCACACACACACACACACACACACACACACACACACACACACACACACACACACACACACACACACACACACACACACACACACACATACATACACACACACACACACACACATACACACACACACATTCGCGCGCACACACACACACACACACACACACACACACACACACACATACGCACACACACACGCACACACACACACACACACACGCACACACACACACAGTGCTGCCAGACACAGCAAAGCAGGATGCAAAATCAGAGTCAGATAGTCTCCAAAAGCAAGACTGCTCAGGCTGCTTTTATTTAATAATGGAGACTTCTCCGCGCCTTTTTGCCCTGCCCACGAGATGCGCTCATGACATCACAGGCCACATACCGCCCATGTGCTTAATCGCACCCTTATTCCTAAGGCAGTGTTGAACAAATGCGGTCAGGCGGGGCGGGCGGAGTGGAGCTGATGCTAGTGTGTAAGTGGCATAAAACACACACAGTGGATCACGATGTGTTGCTTGACCGCCTTAGACATTATGTGAGGATCTCTGGCTTGGGGAGTGGTTTAGATTGTACAGGAATTAAAACAATTATTGTTACGGTGGGGGTGTTTTATCTGCCTCCTCCCATCTTACCTGGGGTGTCCCACAGGGTTCTGGGCTTGAACCTTTACTGTTTTTGATTTACATCATTTCTGTAAAGAAATTTTTTTGTCCGTTTGGCATTAGCTTTCACTTTTTTGCTGATGATTGTCGGCTTTATCTACCACTGGATTCAGAAAATTATTTTTCAATTGACAATTTGGTAAACTGTGTCTGAGGTTAAGAGGTAGATGTTGTGAAAATGTATTAGCCTCAATGATAATAAGACGGAGGTGATCCTATTTGGGCCAAATGGATGTATCAATGCCTCTTCACGTGACTGTGGACCTTTTAAATCCCGAAATCAGTTGCTAACCTTGGAGTGAAATTTGGTAATGTGTTGGGTATTGTTGCAAATGTAGCCGTCTCCTCTTTTTATCATTAAGATGTTTGGTCGAGGTGAAACCGTTCCTGTCATGACATGATTTAGGCAGTAGTTCGTGCTTTTATTATAGCCTGCATTGACTATTGCAGCTGTGAGTCGGGGAACCTCAGCAAGGCTTCAACTCATGCAAAATGCGGCTGCCAAATTCCTAGTGGGTAAAAGGAAGTTTGATCACGTTACTCTGGTCTTCGCTGAAACGCGTTGGCTGCCTGTTGATTTTAGAAATCATTTAAAGATCCTTTTGCTGGTTCATAAATCAATGAATGGGTTGGCTCCATCTTACTTGAAGACTCTGTCACAGCAGTATGCCTCGGTACGGGCACTTCGTTCAGAGAATCTTCTCCTGCTCTCCGTGCCCCGAACATCCTTAAAGACGAGAGGAGACAGGGTTTTCTCTGTGGCAGGTCCAAAGCTCTGGAATGATCTACATTCTCTTTATGGGTTGCCCCTTCGGTGGCAGTTTTTAAAGTTAGGCTGAAAACGTCTCGACGCAACTTGGCCTTTCCTTCTCATTGTTTTTAACCTGTTTATTGTTTTATTGTGTTTTAGATTCTTTTATTTTTGTTTTTGTATTCTATTTTATTTTTTGTACAGCGCTTTGGTGTTACTTTTATGCCTGTGAAGCTCCATATAAATACAGCTGAGTTGAGTGAAACCCTCACGACCCAGGTTCAGCTGATGTACACGTCGAAGGGTTGTTAGAATAATAAATGTTGGACAGATCTTCCTGTAGAGCGAGTTAATACACAGAGTTAATACAACATAATAAATGTACCTTGTGATTCTGGTAAGAAGTCACTGAGATGAAGGCCGTCTCAGGGAACACATGAGTGCAGTAGGCAGTGTTCTTGGATCCAAAGGCGTTGTTTTCATCAGCTTTGACTATGTGAAGTCTGGGTTGGTACTTGTGCATGGAGTTCAGGATGATCTAGGAGATGCAGACAAGGTGTTTGAATTAAAAAAAGGAACAGTAAATGTTTATTACCCTCTCATAATAAAACTGTCTTTGGAGAAATGTGTTGGATTTTCTTGATTAAAAACATTAGAACAGGGATGGAAAGAGGCAGAACTCTCTTGACTGCACTGACTCAGGGAGAGCTGAGAGTAAATCAGCTGTGTCTATCTTGTGTTTTAGTAGCTACAAGAAGCTCCTCCATGTTTGAGATTTTTGTTGGACAGAGCAGTTTAATAAATAGTTCAATAACCAGTTAAGTATTTAGGTTTAATCTGTGTCAGCAGGTATATCACTCCCAGTATGGCCTCGGGACATTTTAGTAGGATATAAAGATCCTCCATTAGATCCAGTTTGTTTTCTCTTCTTATTATCGGAACATTTACTTATAAATATCATCCAGGACAGAAAACCATTCCATCAACTGAGTTAGAGTTAGCATATGAATGTGTGTGTGGGTATGGTAAATGATAAATGACCTGCACATGTATAGCACCTTTCTGAGTCACCGGACTCCAAAGTGCTGTACACTACAATCAATCACTCACTCACACACACACACACACACGCACGCACGCACGCACGCACACACACACACACACACACACACACACACACACACACACACACACACACACGCACGCACGCACGCACGCACGCACGCACACACACACACACACACACACACACACACACACACGCTGCTCTGGGACACGCCGGCAGAAGCAAAGGTAACCTCCAGGCTGAATGCTGAACCACATCCTGCTCTGTGATGTGATGGAACAATTAATACAGATCAAAATCTTTAAAGTCAGATGTTTGTACGACTGCTAGGAGCAAAAGCTTTGACTCCATAAACATTTTAGATTAGCCTTTGTAACGTCTCTGTGAGCCACTGGTGCTCTATGGATGTGAGTGCTGGAGTCTGAGCAGAAAACAAGCGCTGCAGTTGGATGCTGGCCTCCAGAGAACACAGGAGAACTCCTCTCAAAGATCACATTATCAGTAACGGAAGACCTGGATAGGCAGCATCAATGCAAATTTACCGGGCAGCCAAACAGAACCCAGAAGATATGGCTGGAACAAACAGCTTTCCTCCTTCCAGATACAAGTTTAGCCCCGCCCCCTCCATGCAAACTAACCAACGTTTTCCTGTTTTCAGGTTTTGACTCGTGTTGATTCTCATTTTGCTGCTGAGGGTTGTACAAATATGACAACACAGTCATTTTAATGAATAAAACACGTGACTGGTGCAGGTAAGTGGGCGGGGCTTCCAACCCTACATGTAAATAACATCTCATGACTTCACTTCTCAGTAACAAAGGAAGACGATACTCATGTCTCTCTATTGTGGCTCTTCATGTAGAGCTGGACATGAGTGAGGTTACTGGGACCAGTCAGATGAGAGATCTCTGTAAAGATCCGTTATCTTTATCACTCTTCATGTGCAGCAGTGTAGCAGGTGACCTGCGCCGAGCATGCACGATGTTTATGTTGTTTAGTGGCTGCAGGTCAGCTCACTAGCATCACTCTGAGCGAGTTAGTGCCCAGTGAGGCGTTAGCAGCAGTGGGACAAGGTCATCACTGGTCCAGCCCTGTCAGCTGCAGTAAACATCAAGCTCTGCCTACACCCCCACCTCCCTACCTCCTCCCCACTTGGTGACACTCTCCTGAGAAGCCTCCTCCTCAAGGGGGCTCTCAGACTGAGACGAAGGTGGAAGAGGCCATGAGCTGCTGGGCTCAGGTTGAACAGCAGACACTCGTGTGCTCCTGTGGCTGAGGCAGGCCGGAGACACAGAGACCTCAAACTCACTGGTTTGAAAGTTAAATAAACTGGATTAAATTACAAACAATAACATTTTCAGGAACAAAAGTTTTAGATGAAAGCGTAGAATAACTTTCAGCACAAGGAACACATGAATCTGTAGAGACACGGGGAACTTTTAGATAAAGTTTTCTGATTTTCACTGAGTGTTGTCTCTGGCTGGTCCACCAGAGACCCTCTGTTGTCTGTGAGTGATGCTGGAGACTCTTGGAGAGCAGAGAAGCTTTCCTCACCTCAGAAACAGGGTTAGCATTTATCTCCATTGATGTTAAACCTCCCAGATCTTGGTGACTCTAATGTGATCTTGATGTATGAAAATGTCCTGAGCAGTTTTACCAGATCATAAATCTGGGATCGTCTTGGCCTGATTTCACGGACAGGCAAACACACTGTCGGCTGAACGTGAGAAGGTACCAGAAGCCACACGGAGTGAGAGGAACCCAAACTTCTTCCTTCGCCATGTTTGTGTACTCTAAAGTCACATTTGACACAGAGAGGTTTAGTGAGATTTTCTGTCTAATCTGGGAAGTTTTTCTGTTTTTATCCATGATTTTTTAATTCCAGCATGTGGGATGCCATGTTTTACAAATCGTCCAACCATTTTAACTCCTGCCGTGTGAAGTGGTAGCGAGGTTGTTAACAAAGATGCACGTTTTCAGTAAAGGCAGAGAAGCAGACAGCTAGCTTCATCTCCCATTTAACGCCAGGGATTTACTAGATAGTTTCTAGGTGTGGTCCTCGTGTGTGAGTGATGGAAGACACTCCCAGACTGTTAGTGCAGGATGAAATGGAGGGCTGCTTCAGGGAACCATCAACATTATTGGTCACAACAACAACAATAGTTCACCATCAGGAAAACAAGCATTTTACACTGAAGGCTGATGGATCCACAGTCTACACACCATACTGGGACACTGGGATACTGGGGTACTGGGACATATGGCGACTGATATCTTGGATCTTTGCAAGGAAAACTGTTCTGGGTTCTGGACCACAACTCAGGCCCTGCAGCACCTTCCCATACAATGTGCAC